TTTTTCTTTACCTTTTATAATTGTTCTGACCGTCGATTCCGGTAGATCAAACTTCTTTGCCAATTCACAAATTTTCATTTTTGTATCGAAGTCTTTAATAATGTTAACTTTACATTCCAAAGATAAAGTTTTTCTTTTTTTGTTTGATGCAGAAGAATCAGTTCTACCTAGTTTGGATGACATAGTAGAATCTCTCAAGTCTCCGTAGATAAAACAAACACAGAAATAAATAACACAAAATAAATTGTATCTATGCATCGATTCCGCGCGAAACGTCCGAACATGTAAGCTGAACAATAGTGTGGGAGAAGTGAGTTATCGAGAGTTGCGTGGCGCTCAAACAAAAGATGAATCGACGAGATTTGAAAATCGCATAACTCCGAGTTCGCGTGAGTCGAGGTAGCGTAAGTCAGGGTATTACTGTATATATAGACTAGCAGGTAGGCCCGGCGTTGCTCGGGCAAAAGTAACGATAGCAATGATTAAGATTATTACGTTATAGTCAGCATTTCCCGTTTTCACAGAATGCAAGAATTGGGTCCCCCGTTTCCAGACTAATTAGAGAATTTTTAGATGGGTCTAAAAATATCTTCGATTTCCAGCAAAAACGAAAAAACTGCTTTTGCGTCTTGCACGCCGCTTTCTCTTAACAATTCCATTGTTACGTAACACTTCCATTGTTACTTAAAACTTTCATTGTTACTTAACACTTTCATTGTTACTTAACACTTCCATTGTTGATGGAAGTGTTAAGCCTTAATCTTGTCTCTTTCCCCCCCGGGGGAGAGAGATAGGATTAAGGCTTGGTGGGCCCGGCGTTGCTCGGGCAAAAGTAACGATAACTAAGATAAAGATTATTACGTTACAGTCAACCTTACCCGTTTTCACAGAATGCAAGAATTGGGTCCCCTTGTTTCCAGAATAATTAGAGAATTTTTAGATGGTTCTAAAAATATGTTCGATTTCCCGCAAAAACGAAAAAACTGCATCTGCGCCTGTAAATCTTCCACGTCGCTTTCTTTAACAATTCCATTGTTACTTAAAACTTCCATTGTTACTTAACACTTCCATCAACAATGGAAGTGTTAAGTAACAATGGAAGTAACAAATTTTCGCCAGTAAATTACTGGCGAAAATTTACATATTAATAAGAAAAAAGGACATTGAGGTATTTTAATTAAAAATTATATTACTTACAAAGGTCTTTCTCAGCAAAGAAGGAAACTTATAACTTTTAGTAGACGTCTGCAAAGTTGACGTTTGTTAAAATGTTTTTTTTTCTTATAGATCTCGGTGGATAAAGAGAATTAATCTCGATTTTCGAATAAACCCGGTTGAAAAGCGTGTAAACATCTTAAAATACTGTACAGGATAATGTAATTTAGAATGAGAGGTAAAAAGTTTAACTAAAATTCTACATCTTAAAATTATCTTATAGTCGGACAACTCTTTCTATTGCAAGGTTCACAGAAACATTTAATGAAAAAATTGTAAATATTGTCGAATATCGAGCGTTGGAAAGTACGATCGAGTTCGTAAGTCGATAGCTTATCGGCCGAAGGGTAATTAGGAAACTCGAATCGGAAAGAGATGATGAGTTTGAACAAGAAACTGATAGTCGAGAGCTCGATTCGTACACCATCGAAGCAGAGTAACATAATAACCGAATTGGAAAACTCTGAACCGGGTTAACTATGAAAACAGTAATTAACTGGAATGTTCTAGCTGTAACCCGTAAATTCAGTCAATAAATGGTTTTGATAGTTTGGAAATTAAAAATTGAAAATACAAAGTACAATCTTTTAGATCCAGATTGTCCTATATTGCACTAGACTAATTGAAATTGTACAGTACATATAGGCTATTTATTTACTGCATTTTAGACTTTTATTTTTGAGTTTTATTGAAAAATATTGAGACTAAACTGAGAGAAAATACTAATCTAATCTAAAGAATCAGGATTTTCCGAAAGTAAATATTCAATGTTTCTTTACTGGGATAAGATTAGTGAAACGATGTACCGTACGTGGAGTACCAAATACATTGCTTTGGCTGTATGATCCACGCTTTTAATTTCTATTTTTAATATCTACAATAATTAATTGTTCGATTATAATGAGTCATAGTGTACATAATAGAGCACTTTTTTTATTCAATATCTTTTCATCTGTTAGCGAGAGTAAAGATATTATTTTGATTAAAGACAATGCTCTGTGTTTCGGAATCATTTAAATAGACTCATTACTGTAATGATTCTTAATCACCTGGAGAACCAATTTGTTGCATAGTTGGAATTTGTTCGCTAAGTGTGCAAGTTTTGAATTGAGTTTCAAATAAATAGGAAAAATAGATATTTGTTTCTATTTCTATACTTTAATTATTATGAATATGGGAATTAAGACAGAAATAGATATCTATTTCACTTTGTAAATAATCATATGCATTTTTAATCTGAAATATATGTAGGAAGCGATATTCTCCCGTAAACATCACAGAAAATTTGAGCACATCCTATAAAATTTCCTATACAAATTTCAGATTAAATTTAACATATTGCAATTATTGAGTAATTTGAGAAAGGGCCATGAGTTTAGAATTAAAATATATCCATTTTTATATTAGATTAACATATTTTAGGTTTTAATAAAATATTTTTATTTATAATATAAATATTTTCTATTTTTAAAATAGATAAATAACTTGAAATAGATATTAACTTGAATATGTTGCATTTCTATTCATTAAATCAACATTGCTTATGATTCATATTTATTATTGTAGCTATCAATTATAATAATTTAATCGTTTGAACAATTCAGCATTATTATCATTAGTTGTAATTAGTAATAATATAAGCATATAATCTGTAATATTTTCTCTAAATTTTGAAAATACGTAACACTTTTGCAAAAAGTAAATAATGCACTAAAGTTTATGATTTTAATATCAGTAAATAATAATTTAAATCGAGAATGAAGTAAATTACAGATTTATATAAAGATAATAAATTAAATCTTGCAATATTAACTTAACACTATGTGTTTTAATTACAATTCTATTTAGCAGTTGTCAATAATTGAACTTTGTAAATCATCCACTGACTATTGTTAAGAGAAGGTCACTAATATTAACGTGTTTATAAAGAATTATAGCTATAATTAGGGCAAAAGGTGGCCCTATAAAACATTAATCATCAGTATTCCATACTTTTGTTTGTTTTTTGTGATACACCACTTTTGTTCAACTCTTATTTGTTTAAAATGTTGTAATTTTGTAATTAATGCAAATATCTTGACAACGTTTGGTATGTAAATACTATACTTTAATACGTCTATTATATTTCCCAGTTGTTAAAACTTCAATAATAATTTTGTGAATTTGATTATTTCAGGATTAATTTTTCTACAGCTATAAAATATTCCATACTTTTGTTCAGGGTTATATGGCATGTTTAAATGTATTTTCTCTGAACTTAAAATGTGTCGAAAAATATAGACCAATTTACATTTTTGAGTTAAATATCTTTATTTTGTATCTTAGATTTTCCTTTTTAGTAGATAAAATTAAACCATGGCTATTATGGAAAATCATTTTAACTAACTGATCTTCAGTTGTAAAATTAATGTGATAATTTCTTATTTTACATATTTATTAGATTCCTTTATCTTATGATTTGGAGGATAGAGAAGAGCTAGATAAATAAAGAAAGGGGGAAAAAACAAGAAATTTGCTTACGCTTGATCTTACGTGTAATCTAGGTATTCTATAAGTTTTGTAAAATAGCGTTTAATCAATTGAAATTGTATTTGACAGATATAATAATTCATTTGTACAATAAACTTTATTTTATACATTATTTATTGATGTTATATTATAATTTACATATGAAAAGACTAGAGAATTTATCCAAAGACTGAAGATTCTATCGAGTTAGTAGATGGATTTCAATCGAAATCAGAACCACAGCGTGTTAGTATGGATGAGGGATGCAGAATGATGCTCTAAACCAAATTACTTATTAAAATCCGAGGATTCAAATCAATTTAATAAAATATTTTACATTACTGTCATCCGGATATTTGATTAACCATCGAAACATCAGCGAAGCGTAGATTGTGCACAAAGTATTACTAAACATATTGTATATGCACAAACAAATAATATATACAGTAGTTTAGTTTGTGATGTGCAGGATATGTGGAAGGGTTAGAATATTAATAATATTAACCAGGCAATTTATGGCTTGTGTATATTGAAACAAATACCAAGTTTTCATTTTTTCATCGAAACGACTTTTATATAATTTTTTACTGCTACATTAAATTATAATTATCTTTAAAATATTAGCGCCTTAGGCTGTAATTTTGATTTTCTTTAATTTCTTATTTTGAGACAATAGTTAGAATTTAGTAATAAAAAAATTACATTTATCTTACTCAGCTTTCTTTTATAACGTCATAATCATTCCAAATTTTATAATTGAATTCCGACAAAAGTAAATAATCTGAAAAATTATTTCAAAAATTTTTTTAAAATAATTTTTTAAAGGCTTAATTAATGTAAATGTAATTTGGATTAATTATTTTATTTAATAACATTTTCTAAGGTTAAAGCTTAACTTATAATAATTTAATCATATTTAAACGAAAAAAAAGGACTGGCGAGGATTAATTTGTTGCTAGGAAATGCCAAATAAATTTGAGAATCTTTCGTTACAGATGAGATTCTTTTATGAGAAAGAAAATATTCAGTTATTATAGAATAATAACTAACGTCACTAATAAAATTTAGTATATTAAACAATAGCAAATAAAAAAAGAAATATTTCAAAATTATTTTTCTTTTAATTACTTATTTTTATGTGAAAAAGAAATACATTTCTATTAATATTTAGAATATATTGAAATTTCGATATAGTGAACTTTCAAAGCACTGAGCTAAATCCTTCATTATACCAACAGTTTAAATAAAAGATAGCAGGGATCAGCAAAATTGTAATTGTTTTCTATATCGAAAGTTCGAAAATCCACTATACTGATGGCCACTGTACCATAAATCCACCGTATTTCGAAATACAAAATCGTTTAAGACTAGTTATTGTAGAAAATAATTTTATTTTCGTCTCCATTAACTGTTATATTATCTGTGATATTCTTAAGTTATATTTTTTAATTTACTTATAATACATATATTTACAAACTTAATACAGTATCAAAATTCTATTCTATACAGTACCAGATTAATGCGTAAATTGATTTCTATACTGCAAATACAGTATATATAATAAAATATAAATTTCACTAAATTATTAATATATTGATATATTTTCAGTAAAATTATAAAGAAAATAATATTAATTTAAAAATTATATAAACCTAGGTAGAAATAATTTAATTGCGTGAAATAATTATTTTTATAACTTACGTTTATGCACTAGTCCCTCATTACATTGCTCGTTAGGATATATCAAGTTATTATTTTGTAGTCCAAACATAAAATCTCTTTAGCCATAATGGATAGATACATAATGGTTATATCGCACCATTTGATCTATCGCTCATTTAGTTTGGCTACATGAGCGATATAACGAGAGCTACTGCACATTTTTCAGGAATTTTCCATACACTTTGGCCAATTAGTATATGAATAATTTCTTATTCAGCAATATTTTTATAAACACTTTTAATCATAGGAAAACGTTAATTTTTATATCAATTATCTTAATAAACAATAAATAAATAATTTGTGCTTCAGAAGTTATCATGATTGAGTTGTTTCAATGTCCTCGTAAATAAAATTTAAAGCATAAAGGCCGTAGGTCATAGAAAAAAATTATTATAAACCTAAAATACCTAACGTTTGCTGAGTAGCCTACAGTAATTCGTTATTTATTATTTACTGGCAGAAATATAATAAACAGATATAATAAAAACAAGCATTAAAATTAAAAACATATTAAAAGTTTGGTTATTTTAGTCCAACTCAATGAAAGTAATTGTAAGTTAAAATTACAATTTAATTAATTGTTCGACAAATCTTGTTTGTTCTTAATAATAATTGTTGTTATTAATTATCAATAATTAATTACTATTGCGTAATAATTATTTATATAATAATGCAATAAACTTAAATTATCACAAAGTGTGTAAGGTATGGCATCAAAGGAATGGGTGGGCAGTGCTGGTTTTATTGGGCTGCACTTTGAAAAAATTGTAGACCTATAAATTTCCACTGTCGTCCGTCTGTTTGTCTGTCTTTTCTTAGTCTATAGCATTAGATAGATAAAAGAGGAAACCAAGTATGAAATCCTTGGGGATAGGAAGTCCTGATCAACTATATATGAACGTCTAATACAAACCGGAAGTCCTGTTATTTTAATTCAAAAATGTTCCCCTAAAAAGTGTTAGATCTCCGGCACGACTCTATTGTTAAAGGAAAAGGATGATGTACAGGGGCAAGACACTACAGTACTGATTTGAGGTGGAGTGCATACATTTTAAATTAAATAAATTTAAAATTTGATAAAAAATTGCAGTCCAGCATTGTGACGATGTCAAAATAAATAATTGCTCGTTGTAGTCTATATTTTCTGCAGGATGGTAGAGAGTAATATGAAAAATTTGGTGCGGATCGATCGAGATGTTTATAAGCGTACAGAAAACAAACAGACTGACATACAGATATTCTATTTTACATATATAAATAATATTCGTTTATACAAAATTTATTTATAAGTTTTTTTACGTTTTTAATTTAGTTCATTGTAGATAGAAGTAGTGAGTTTGCGATAAATGTTTACTTCAATCATTTATCGCTTCAAACAAAATTGTTAAATAGCCAAAAGGGAATGAATAATGCTGAATGATCTTTGAAAATGTTTGTATTTTGAAGAAATGAGAATAATTATTTCATCTACTAGCTTTTTCTATTTGAAACTGAATGATTCTAAGTAGTATACAGAATTACTAAACAGGATCTGCAGTCACAAAAAAGATATTTTTCTAAATTATCGTTTACTTATTATTTGCGAAAGCAGAAATGTGCTATAAAGTTTGTAATCGCTTATTTACCCGATACCAATCTTAATTTATAGACTGTGTTTATAAATCTTCCAAGTTTGTATTGTTTCGTGGTTTATATACTATATTTCAATTGAGATTCTTATTAAAAACCAAGCCTAGATATTTACTATAGAGCAATTTATTCATTATTATACAGTTTATTAGTAAACATTTATTACATCAAGTTGGATAAGTTAATGTTCGGTATTGAGATAAACTTCTTGATACTGTTATCAGATTCATTGATGAGAATATCATCGCCGTAGAAGTCTATTAAATTACAGTCAACAGCTTGGAAAATGTTATTCATAATTAAATTAAAGAGTTCAAATGCTAAAATCGAGCTATGACATTCCTTCATTAAAACCGAAATGAAAAGACTGCCGAGATGACAAGGCAATTTTTATTAAATGTTCATCCATGCGAAAAATAAATCATCAACCAATTTGGAATGCTTCATATAAATTGTAACCTCTGAGCTTCTTATCCAATAATTTTAAATCTGAGAAATCTG